GAGCAAAACCCACCAAAACCAAGATGGCCACGAGACTGACCTCTGGTCGTCCTCACTGCCACACTCCCACCAGCATCATGACAGTTTACAAATGCCACGACAACGTCAGGAAATTACCCTATACAGTCTAAACAGGGGAGGCATGAATAATCCACTCCTTGTTTAGCATATCATCAAGAAATAACCATAAAAATGGGGAACCTGCAGCCCTCAGGGCTCCCCTGTCTATGAAGTAGCTATTCTCTTGTTCCTTTACTTTTTTTGAGACGGAGTCTCGCGCTGTCACCCAGGCTGGAGTGCAGTGGCCGGATCTCAGCTCACTGCAAGCTCCGCCTCCCGGGTTCACGCCATTCTCCTGCCTCCGCCTCCCGAGTAGCTGGGACTACAGGCGTCCGCCACCTCGGCCGGCTAGTTTTTTGTATTTTTTAGTAGAGACGGGGTTTCACCGTGTTAACCAGGATGGTCTCGATCTCCTGACCTCGTGATCCGCCCGTCTCGGCCTCCCAAAGTGCTGGGATTACAGGCTTGAGCCACCGCGCCCGGCCCTTCCTTTACTTTCTTAATAAATTTGCCTTCACTTTGCACTGCAGACTCGCCCTGAATTCTTCCTTGCACAAGATCCAAGAACCCTCTACTGGGGTCTAGATCGGGGCCACTTTCCTGTAACAATTGGGCCAGGTGCAGTCGTTCACGCCTTAATCCCAGCACTTTGGGAGGCCAAAGCGGGTGGATCACCTGAGGTCAGGAGTTTGAGACCAGCCTGGCCAACATGGTGAAACCTTGTCTCTTAAAAATAGAAAAATTAGCAGGTCGTGGTGGCAGGCGCCTATAATCCCAGCTACTCAGGAGGCTGAGGCACGAGAATTGCTTGAACCTGGGAGGCAGAGGCTGCAGTGAGCTGAGAGCACTCCACTGCACTCCAGCCTGGGTGACAGAGCAAGAGTCCATCTCAAAAAAACAAAGAAACAAATGAGACAGGAATAGGGTAGAAAGGATAGGGGAAGGGATACTGCTCTGAGCCATCCTTTTTGTATATTTCTGACTTTTAGAACCATGTAAATATTTCACATACTTAAAAATGAATAAAAATGTAATCAACAAAGATAGGATAGGGCCCCAAATGGAATACAAACAAAAACAATAAACTGGCTGGGCGCAGTGGCTCACGCCTGTAATCCTAACACTTTGGGAGGCCAAGGCGGGTGGATTGCCTGAGCTCAGGAGTTCAAGACCAGCCTGGGCAACATGGTGAAACCCCATCTCTACTGAAATACAAAAAATTAGCTGGGCATGGTAGCGTGAGCCTGTAATCCCAGCTACTCGGGAGGCTGAGACAGGAGAATCATTTGAACCTGGGAGGCGGAGATGGCAGTAAGCTGAGATCTTGCCACTGTACTCCAGTCTGGGCAACAGAGCGAGACTTCATCTCAAAAACTAAAAATAGAAAATAAAAAAAAACCTGGCTGTAACAAAAATGAATACCAAACCACACTGGGGATGGAGGAAGAAAATAACTACCCTAAGTAACTCTGGAAAAGAGCATTTTTGGCTATGTCCTATAAGACCAAAGAAAAAAATTAAGCATAAGTATTACACTTAGTAGTTTTTCTCATGGCTACATATACTAGCATCTCTGAAACTAATTTATGTGTATTGGAGAAAATAAATGCGTTATGGACAATGAAAGCTAAATTTCTCTTTGTCAGAGAAAGCAGTTAAAATAAGAAATGGGAAAGGCTGCATGAAACCTATTGTTTTGGTTTGCAATTGGAGGTATGAACTAGTATGTGTGCGTGTGTGTGTGTGTGTGTGTGTGTGCATCCTACAACCAATGAATACAACTAGCACCCAGGTCTGGATTTCTAAATACCATTAGCCAATGAAAGGAATTACATCTCCTTGAAGAAGTGGCTGATTTTAGTGCTAGGGCAGGGAAAGTACAAAATTAATGTGCAACAGAAAATAGGAACCGCACACACACAAAATGATGGGATGTGTCAAAAGGACACAGGAGCCCATTTGAAGGGGTTCCAATGGCCAAACCTTAAACAGTTTAAGCAAGAGAGCAGGCTGGGCCTGGTGGCTCACATCTGTAATGCCAGCACCTTGGGGGGCCAAGATGGAAGGATCTCTTGAACCCATGGTTCAAGACCAGCCTGGGCAACACAGTGACACCCTAGCTCTACAAAAAAATTAAAACTTAGCCAGGTGTGGTGGTGTGCACCTGTAGTCCCAGCTACTCTGGAGGCTGAGGTGGGAGGATTGCTTGAGCCTGGAAGGTGAAGGCTGCAGTGAGCCATGATTGTGCCACTACACTTGAGCCTGGGCAACAGAGCAAGATCCTCTTTCAAAAGAAAAAAAAAGGACAGAGAGAGAAAGAAAAAAGAAAGTAAATACTAACAGTAATACATTACAACACATAGAATAAAGTAAGAATCATGAATCCATCCTGACATAAATAAATACAGAGATAAGATGGAAAAGTTCTTCCTTACAGCAGAATTCCAACTAGCAAATAGACATTGGAAAGCATTGTTTGGCAAATACTATGCTAATAACTTTTTTAGGTAAAAACACTTCAACAGAAGCTAGGATGAGTAGGTAAAATAATATAGAAAATGGGATTGTTACTTAGTCTTAAAGATCTTCCCACAAAATACTTATTAATTACAAAGGGGAAAGAGTAACTTTGTAGTGGAGAAACCTCTAGACATCACCCTGTCGAGTGATCAAAGTGAACCTCCCCAGAAATGGGAAAAATATCATGTGCCTCCTGACATGATGCACACAGGACATAGCATGGCTTCTCTGATATTCACAACAAAAATGCAGAACTGAAATTAGTCACGAGGAAACCTCAGCCAAACCCCAGATGCGGGCTATTGTACAAGATAAGTGGCCAGTTATCTTTACAAACGTCAGGGTCATGGAAGACAAAGGGCTGAGGAACAGTTCCAGATGACAGAAGATTAAGGAGACATGCAACTTAATGTGTGGTGAGATGCTGCACTGAATGCTGAACCAGAAAAAGATCAGTGGGACAGTTGGTAAAATTTGAATTAGGTCTATAGATCAGATCATAGTGCTGTATCAGTGTTAATTTCCTGGCTTTTATATATGTATTGTGGTTATGTAAAATGTTAATATTTGAAGAATCTGGACAAAAAGTATAAGGAATTTTTTCGGGTACTATTTTTGCAATGTATTTAAATCTGGAGGCCGAATACAGTGGTTCATGCCTGTAATCCCAGCACTTTGAGAGAATGAGGCAGGAAGGATCATTTTGAGGCCAGAAGTTTAAGACCAGCCTGGGCAATATAGGGAGATCCTGTCACTATAAAATAAAATAATTAATAAATAAATAAATAAATAATAAATAAATCTAGGTGGAAAAACTCAGCCTTTGTAGCCTGGTGTTGCCTCACCCAGTAGGTAAAGTCCTCTTGGTAAGGTCCTTTTAAGAATTCTCTAAGCTGGTTACTTCTGGAAGTGCAGTCAAGCTCACCATAGTCCTTTCTTTGCCAACACAGGTAGCTCTAGCCAGCCTCTGGCCTTCGGACTTTTCCAGGCAAGAGTTGGGAAGCACTGGCCAGGCGTGGTGGCTCACGCCTGTAATCCCAGCACTCTGGGAGGCCGAGATGGGTGGATCACTTGAGGCCAGGAGTTCAAGACCAGCCTGGCCAACATGGTGAAACCCTGTCTCTAGTAAAAATACAAAAATTATCTGGGTGTGGTGGTGCATGCCTGTAGTCCCAGCTACTCAGGTGGCTGAGACAGAAGAATTGCTTAAACCAGGAGGCAGAAGTGGCAGATGAGCCGAGATCGCACCACTGCACTCCAACCTGGGCAACAGAGCGAGACTTCTCAAAAAATAAAAAAGAGTTGGGAAGAGGACTCTACACTCCCTTAACTCCAGGAGACACAGGTCACGTTTTCCAGATCTCTCTCAGCATCTTTTGCTCCAGTACAGGACAGCACTTCGGCTAATAAAGCCTTCTGACTTGACTTCAGGTCCAGGGTAGGAATAGCCCTCACCTCTAGGCCAGTAACTCCTTTCAAAGAAATCCTCTGTCTCCTCCGATCAGTCTCCTCAATGACTCTCCTGGTTACTCTTCTCTATGGTCTGGAGATATGTAATGAACTGCAGCTTCTAGTAGGTTCTGCTTGATTGGTGCACTTTAGAAAGAAGGAGACATGTCAGCTATTTTCCTCAGACTGGAGACTGAACCGGGAGCCCGAGATAATCAGTAAGACCCCATTTAACATTCTGTAGGTTTTTCATGCTACCCATAGAGGGGGCCATACAGCGCTCTTCTGCATTCTTATCATAACTTAAAGGGAAATTTCCACAATGTCCAGAGCCTCGATGTCCTGCAAATGAAGGAGGGGAATGTCCTCTAGTTTCTTGCAGCAGGAACCCACTTAGGTGGCACCAACCTGGTTCCAGATGGAACAGTAGATCTATAAAGGAAAAGTGTTGGGCACGGTGGCTCACGCCTGTAATCCCAGCATTTTGGGAGACCGAGGCGGGCGGATTACCTGAGTTTGGGAGTTCGAGACCACCCTCACAAACATGGAGAAACCCCGTCTCTACGAAAAATACAAAACCAGCTGGGCATGGTGGCGCATGCCTGTAATCCCAGCTACTCGGGAGGCTGAGGCAGGAGAATCACTTGAACCCAGGAGGTGGAGGTTGCAGTGAGCCAAGACTGCGCCATTGCACTCCAGCCTGGGCAATAAGAGCGAAATGCTGTCTCGAAAAAAAAAAAAAAAAGGAAAAGTGACGGCATTTACATCCTAAATCTGAAGAATCTAATTCTGTTGGCAGCTTGTACCATTGTTGCCATTGAAAACCCTTCTGATTCTGCAGCCAATTAAGCTGACTGAGTTCCTTTCCTCATGGGGGCCCAGTGTGCAGTCGCTGCAAACAGCAGCTTCCTTGGTAGCGTATGCAGCCTGTTTATTGTATGGGTTGCTCTAAGGGACCTTGGAGACAGGTGATGGATGTTCAAGTTTCTAACTTTGCACTACCCCAATGTAGGCTCCGAACAGGAATGCAAGGTGCCTTTGGAAAGTCCCAGGGCACTGTGGCCAGGGTTCGCATTGCCCAGGTTATCATGTCCATCTGCACCAAGCTGCAGAACAAGGAGCACATGATTGAGGCCCTGCGCAGGGCCAAGTTCAAGTTTCCTGGCCACCAGAAGATCCACATCTCAAAGAAGTGGGGCTTCATCAAGTTCAATGCCGATGCATTTGAAGACATGGTGGCTGAGAAGCAGCTCATCCCAGATGGCTGTGGGGTCAAGTACATCCCCAGTTGTGGCCCTCTGAACAAGTGGCAGGCCCTGCACTCATGAAGGCTTCCACTGTGCTGCCCCCTCTTAATATTCACCAATACGTTCTACTTCCTGTCCGAAAAAAAATTAAAACCCTCCTGATGTCAGTCTCATATCCCCCTGGAATCCTGGTCAGCTGGCTGAGCTAAGCTTTGCTGCTGCCACAGGAGCCACTCCTATTGCTGGCCACTTCACTCCTGGAACCTTCACTAACCAGGTCCAGGCAGCCTTCTGGGAACTGCGTCTGTTGGTAGATACTGATCCCAGGGTAGCCACTGGCCTCTCACAGAGGCATCTCATGATAACCTACCTACCATACCTCTGGGGAACACAGGTTCTCCTCTGCGCTGTGTGGATATTTCCATCCCATGCAACAGTGGAGCTCTCTCAGGGGGTCTGATGTGGGGAATGCTGGCTAAGGGAGTTCTGCACATGCCTGGCACTCTCTCCTGTGAACACCCACAAGAGGTCATGCCTGATCTCTGCTTCTACAGAGACCCTGAAGAGATTGAAAAGCTCACACATGTAATCCCAGCACTTTGGGAGGCCAAGGCAAGTGGATCATGAGGTCAGTAGATCGAGACCATCCTGGCTAACACAATGAAACCCCATCTCTACTAACAATACAAAAAACTAGCCAGGCATGGTGGCACATGCCTGTAGTCCCAGCTACTGGGGAGGCTGAGACAGGAGAATCACTTGAACCCGGGAGGTGGAGGTTGCAGTGAGCCAAGATCATGCCACTGCACTCGACACTCCAGGCTGGGTGACAGAACAAGACTCCATCTCAAAAAAAAAACAGAAAAGAAAAGAAAAAAAAGAACAGGCTACTGCTGAAAAAGCTATGACCACAGACGACAGAGGATTTTCAGATTTAATGGTGAATGGACTGCTCCAGCTCCTGAGTTCACTGCTACTCAGCCTGAGGTTGCACACTGGTCGGAGGCATGCAGGTACCCAGTATCTATCCAGCAGTTCTCTACTGAAGACGTGAAACGCTCAGCCTGCCATGGAAAACTGACCTGCAGCTCCCATTCCTCAGGCCACTAAATGGGTAGGAACAACCACTGTGTGGTCTTAAGCTGTTCTTCCACAAGCTTTTTTTTTTTTTTTTTTTTTTTGAGATGAAGTCTTACTTTGTCAGACTGAAGTGCAATGGTGTAATCTTGGCTCACTGAGACCTCTGCCTCCCAGGTTCAAGTGATTCTCATGCCTCAGCCTTCCAAGTTGCTGGGATTACAGACGCCTGTCACCACGCCTGGCTAATTTTTCCATAGCTTTAGTAGAGGTGGGGCTTCACCATGTTGGCCAGACCGGTCTTGAACTCCTGACCTCAGGTGATCCACCTGCCTCGGCCTCCCAGAGTGCTGGAATTACAGGCATGAGCCACTGCACCCAGCCCCGCAGACTCTTAAGCAACATGAAAATAAGATAGATGGAAAATAAACATTAGTTTCTAAAAATAACAACAGAGGCAGGCAGATCTCCACCAGGGGTGTGGATCACTTGAGGTCAGGAGTTTGAAACCAGCCTGGACAACATGGTGAAACTCTGTCTCTACTAAAAGTACAAAAAACTAGCTGGGTGTGGTGGCACGTGCCTGTGGTCCCAGCTACTCTGGAGGCCGAGGCAGGAGAGTCACTTGAACCTGGGAGTCAGGGGTTGCAGTAAGCCAAGTTCGCGCCACTGTACTCCAGCCTGGCAAAAGAGTGAGACTCCGTCTCAAAAAAAAAAAAAAAAAAAAGAGACAAGTTTCCCAAAGCTGGAACCTAGCTTTCACAGTGCCCAGAACATAGTTAGTATTCGTGTAACGCTGTGATTCCCCACTGGGAAATTTTAGAAGAAACTGCAACTTCAAACCTTAGATTAAAAAGCAACTGTCTTGCTGGGCACAGTGACTCACATTTGTAATCCCAGCACTTTGGGAGGTGGAGGGGAGCGGATCACCTGAGGTCAAGAGTTCAAAACCAGCCTGGCCAACATGGTGAAACCCCGTCTCTACTACCAAAAAAAAAAAAAAAAAAAAAAAACCACGCACACACACAGTGAAAATTAGCCAGGCATGGTGGTGGGTGCCTGTAATCCCAGCTACTTGAGAGGCTGAGGCAGGAGAATCACTTGAACCCAGGAGGTGGAGGTTGCAGTGAGCCAAGATTGCACCACTGTCCTGGGTGACAGAATGAGACTGCGTCTCAAAAACAAAAACAAAAAACGACAGTCTTAAACTAATGTGTTTGACTAAGATGGATAACAGGGATTGGATTTACACTTCCACTTTAAACAACTAAAAACTTGACAAAATATATGAAATAAGTGTTTTCAGACGTCACATAGTCAGCACAGGGCAATCACGCTTGAGAGAGGAAACAGATGATTGCCCGGCTGAGTTCTAGGAGCGTTTCCAGGCCACGGCAAAGGGAGGGGGGATGTGTGGAGCCTGCTTGTCTCCCTGAGTTGAGGTAGTGTTGGGAGTTTGGGGAGGCCCAGGTGGCTAGCGTTTGCGGGGCAGAGTACTGGGGAGGACAGAGTTACACACAGAGAGACTCAGACAGCTGCAGAAGGCTCCCTTCAAGTCTTCAACTGAAGACGAATCAGCAAAGGCACGTATAGAAACTGTCAGGCCGCTGAGCCCAAACTAAGCCATCATTATCCCCTGTGACCAGCATGTGCACATCCAGATGGCCTGAAGCAACTGAAGATCCACAAAAGAAGTGAAAATAGCCAGGTCCTGCCTTAACTGATAACAGTCCACCATTGTGATTTGTTCCTGCCCCACCCTAACTGGTCGATTGACCTTATGACAATATACCCTCCCCGCCCTTGCAGTAATGTACTTTGTGATATTCCCCTGCCCTTAAGAAGGTACTTTGTAATATTCTCCCACCCTTGAGAATGTACTTTGTAAGATCCACCCCCTGCCCCCCCAAAAATTGCTCCTAACTCCACCGCCTATCCCAAACCCGTAAGAACTAACGATAATCCCACCACCCTTTGCTGACTCTCTTTTCGGACTCAGCCCACCTGCACCCAGGTGATTAAAAAGCTTTATTGCTCACACAAAGCCTGTTTGGTGGTCTCTTCACACGGAGGCATGTGACAGAAACCACTTGAGGCTGGGCGTGGTGGCTCATGCCTGTAATCCCAGCACTTTGGGAGGCCGAGGCAGGTGGATTACCTGAGGTCAGGAGTTCGAGACCAGCCTGACCAACATGGTAAAACCCTGTCTCTACTAAAAATACAAAAAAAGTTAGCCAGGGGTGGTGGCGGGCACCTGTAATCTCAGCTGCTTGGGACGCTGAGGCAGGAGAATCGCTTGAACCCGGGAGGCGGAAGTTGTGAAGAGTCGAGATTCCAGCCTGGGCAACAAGAGTGAAAACTCCATCTCAAAAGAAAAGAAAAGAAAAGAAAAGTAACCACTTGAAGCTGGAGAAAGAATCCCCTCAAAAGAATCATCCCTAGAGCTCACACAGGGCTGGGGATCGTTCACATTCCCACCAGGCAGAGCGGGAGCACCTCATCCTGTCCAGGGCATCCAGTAGAGTACTCAAGAGTTTTCGCCTCAGAAATGGTGAGAAAACTGGCTGTAGATAATAGGCTGCTTTAATTCCACCTAATGAAACTGAAAAGCAAGATTCACAATGAACCAAACCCATTCTGAGAATCTTAACTGTGTGACAAAACAAATCTCAATAGTATTTTTTTTTTTTTGAGATGGAGTCTTGCTCTGTCACCCAGGCTGGAGTGCGGTGGCATGATCTCAGTTCACTGCAACCTCTGCCTCCTGGGTTCAAGCCATTCTCCTGGCTCAGCCGCCCCAGTAGCTGGGATTACAGGTGTGCGCCATCACGCTTGGCTAATTTTTGCATTTTTCAGTAGAGACGGGATTTCACCATGTTGGTCAGGCTGGTTTCAAACTCCTGACCTCAGGTGATCCACCTGCCCTGGCCTCCCAAAGTGCTGGGATTACAGGCGTGAGCCACTGCGCCTGGCCAACTCGATAGTATTTTTAATTTAATTTTTAAAGACAGGGTCTCGCTCTATCACCCAGGCTGGAGTGCAGTGGCTTGATCTCGGCTCACTGGAGCCTTGACCTCCTGGACTCAAGAGATCCTCCTCAGCCTCCAAGTAGCTGGGTAGCTAGAACTACAGGTGCATGCCACCCCACCTGGCTAATTTTTTTTTTTTTTAATTTTAGTAGAGACAGGGTCTTACTATATTGCCCTGGCTGGTCTTGAACTTCTGGGCTCAAGCTATCCCCTGCCTTGGCCTCCCAAAGTGCTGAGATTACAGGAGTGAACCACCATGCTGGGCAGTATTTTTTTTGAATACAAGAATATTCAGCACTCGGCCAGGCATGGTGGCTCACGTCTATAATCCCAGCACTTTGGGAGGCCAAGGTGGGCTGATTACTTGAGGTCAGGAGTTTGAGACCAGCCTGGTCAACAGGGAGACACCCCGTCTCTACTAAAAATACAAAAATTAGCCAGGTGTGGTGACACGTGCCTGCAATCCCTACTACTTAGGAGGCTGAGGCAGGAGAATCACTTGAACCTGGGAGGCAGAGGTTGCAGTGAGCTGAGGCTGTGCCACTGTACTCCAGCCTGGGCAATAGAGGGAGACACTGTCTCCAAAACAAACAAACAAACAAACAAACAAACAAATATTCAGCACTCATCAAGGTAAAACTCACAATACCTGGCACCCTGGCATCTGATCAAAACTTACCTGATTGCACCAGGCGCAGTGGCTCACACCTATAATCCCAACACTTGGGGAGGCCGAGGCAGGTGGATCACGAGGTCAGGAGATCGAGACCATCCTGGCTAACACGGTGAAACCCCGTCTGTACTAAAATACAAAAAATTAGCCGGGCGTGCTGGTGGGTGCCTGTAATCCCAGCACTTTGGGAGGCCGAGACAGGAGGATCACGAGGTCAGGAGATTGAGACTATCCTGGCTAACATGGTGAAATCCCGCCTACATATACAAAAAATTAGCCGGGTGTGGTGGCGGGCACCTGTAGTCCCAGCTACTTGGGAGGCTGAGGCAGGAGAACTGCTTGAACCCAGG